TAATTAGCCCTAAAACAACCTGTCCTCTCTGTTTAGATAAGCGTGTGCACTCTGACAGTTAAGAACAGCCGCCACTGTGATGCTGCCCAAGATAACATAGGTTAGGAATCTTTGTGTGCCTAGAGACGCCTCTCAACTACCTGAACAACTTCAGAGGTATAGAAAGTTCAGAGGTTAACTCCCTCTACAATTTACTTTCCAAGTGGAGGTTTGTGCTAAATCTCAGAAATTACCCCATGTTTTTACAAGACAGAAACGAAAATTTTAAAGGTTAGTAGCTGTCGTTAACTGAATCATACTACGCATATGTTCTACTTTTTCTTATATTGCAGTATTATAATCCAATTACACTGAAGGCTTTTTGGTAGGTATTAATGCCGTTAGCTCAACATTACTGTTTCCACCTCCTAACCTTCGGGTGTTCCTTTTATTTTTAGGCTGAGATTTGCTAAAAGCTCAACATATTTTCTCAAGCCTTTATGGAAAAGTCAGCTGAAACAGCGTGCTAATGGCAATGCCTGAACACACACAAAGAGGTTATCCACTACCTAGCATCATCACAGGAGGGAAGGTGACTACATAGCAGTCTGAATATTCTCTAGCAGCTTCATTTAATGAAAAATGACTGTAGGTAAGCACAGAAAAGGATGTGGCCTATGATCATCTTTAAAACACAGGTGTCTTGATTAAACAACTGTCCACTCATATGCTTGTTTAAGAGGTTAACTCCCAGTCCCATTTCTTTCTCTACATATAAAGAAGTACTTCCCAGCGCAGAGGGCAGAAGACTGTGGGCTGAATCTCACCAGTAAGTTGTTAAACTGGAGCACCACATTAGGATTGGTTCCCTCTCACTCTCTGCCTTCCAGCCAGCCAGGTAACACAACTTGCCATGGCATCAGTTGTTCCACTGCTGAGAAATACTGGTTGAAATACCAAAATTTAAAGACATTTGGTTTAAATAGATCAAGTTGTGAGACAGGGAAAGATCAATGTTCCATAAAAATCTACCAAGTACCTAAGCTGACTTGCCTTGGAGAAATATCCTTGACCTTCCTCATATTTCTATTTCCCTGTGCACAAAAACAGGACTAAGTAAAATCTGTTAAAGGTGATAGCAATTTGACCCTATTCAGAACAATTTACAGAAGTATGCCTTTTAACCAAATAATTATGATAACAATGACTTGTCCAAAGCAAAAGTGTATAGGGGGTTTTTTTGGTGTTTGTTTATGGCTTTTTGGTTTGTTTTTTGAACTTAGTTGTCACATATCCTATAAGCTGGTGATCAAATACAGTATGTGGATGCACAAGACAGCAGCTTCTGGCCATCCCATGCAGAGGTACCTTACTCCTGAACTGTAGAGTAGGGATGCTTGAAACAAGATAATATTTGTCCAAATGCATGCTTTGGTTCTCTGAGATAAACCTTTTTATTCTTGCTTTGTACAGAGGGGGCGGAATGTCACCCCATACTGGAAACAAACTTGAATATAAACAACTGCTATGTTCGCAGAATGAGACAGCAAACAATGTGCTGTTAAGAGCAGAGAAAGGACCTTCTTTAGTATCACACTAGCCAGAATTTGAGTCAATGCTGTAGAATACAGTCTCCTGTTCTCCAATAAGAGCAACTAAAAAGACTCAAAAATCATCGAACTAGAGTCTAGGAAGACTGGAGCACTTAACACTGGGGGGAGAAGGAAGAGAGTTTCACATAACCATATCATCATTCAAATTTAACAACTTTGATCATACTTTTACTTTCAATGATGTTCATAAGAAAAGTCATCAGAAGCTGCTGAAAGAAATCTGGTCTGGTCTTTCTCCAAAGTCTTCAGTAAATATGTAATCTAAGTGATTTAGCTAAACCACTACAAATAAAAGCAGCGTAGATAAATAAGGCTCAGGCATTTTCAACCAGATTTAAACTTTGCATCTGTCTAGTGTAACTGCGTGAAGGATTTATGATTCACTGTATCTCAAAGTGGAGAACCAGTTCGACCTGTAACACTTCATTATGTATCTTGATTTTAACAAACCTTTTAGTCTTTTACAAATAAAACATTCTTTCCATTTCAAAAATTAGAGGACTATAAAGTTATCCAATTCACGCATGGGGTGGGGGAAAGGTATGCTGCACTATCCAAAGTTTGGCCTAAGCACCAGGTTTTGGAGTGTTCTATTCAAGGATGGAAAAATTGTGACATCAATGCAAGGGAAAAAAAATGCATATAGATCTCCAATAAACACTAAAAAAAAAGTAGTCTGTTCAGACAGAACAAATCATCACAGTATAGAGAAAATGCAAGTGATTTGAATTTTTAATCTAATGCAATACATCAGTGTGTTTTCATCAAAATAATTTAATGTTTATAGAAGATGTGGAAGGGCTTTCACAGTTCAAAGAACTTTTTCATTTTTCAGCCACTTTGTGACTGGCCTTCTGAAAGCTCATCTGAACTGAAATGTTTTCAATCATTTGAACTGCATTTATATGCCAGTAACATTTAAAATAATTGATGGTGTGGGAATCTTCAATTTTTCTTTTTTTTAATGGCTTTAGGGTTTTTCTGTAAACATAAAATATGCCTACCAACAACCTTCAAAAATATATACTTCCTTTACATTAAAATTGGTGTGAAAAATTTTACGCATAAATGAAGTTAGCATTGCTTTCTATTTTATTATATAATGCTATTATTACATAAAACGTAATTTTTCTCAGGTGATCCCTGATTCAAAGTTGGCTAAATTATTTCTTTTAATTTAAGGTGAGTGCTGTAGGCTTTTAAAGATTCATACATTACGGCATAATAACTTGGACATACAGATCATTAGCCACTTTTTAAAATACAAGCTGAAAAATGTATTTCAAGATACAGAAATCTTCACAGAATCCCATATGTTCCAAACATACCTATTTTATTCTATTAATTTTAAAAATTGTTTAGATTTGTTTTCATGAATGAAAAGGCTTGACAGGGAATGGATTATATTTCAGGCTGTCAGCTTACCTAAAGACTATAACAGCTGAATAATTTTCTTCTCTTCCTTGGAGGTCAGAAGGCTATGGAAACATCTAGAGAACAATCAGTCAGCTACAATAATTCAGATATTTTTATCTTCCCAAAACTAAACTCTTTTTTCCACCAGGCACTAGAAGTGCACATTAATCCAACTGAACTGCCCAGGAAGTTCTCTGTATACCACCAGACCTCCAGTTTATGGGCAACTTGGTGTTTCTGAACCTTAATAACTGATCGACTATTATTGCTTACTAAAGACAGCAAGAAGACTGCATCACTCACTGCATTTTGGGGATAAATGGGGAGTGAGAAAAACAACACAGTAACACACAGTGAACTTCTGTCTTCATGACATAAGAGAAAGATCTACTCATTTAACCAAATAAAGAATTCAGAAAGTTAAACTCCAGAAGAACTTAGTAACTTAACTTCTAATAAATACAGAATTTAATTTTAGAAAAAAATTTAAATAAATATATTCAATTTATATACTCCATAATTAGGCTGTGTCCTTAGTAATTTAAGTAGCAGAATTCAGTAGGAAAAGACTTCCTGACTGCCAGAAAACCCCAGCTCATCCTGAAAATCTAACAATTCAACCAGCTACTTCAGAAGTACATCAATACTTCCTGGCTACTTGATACACACATTGAGACAGTAATTTTCTCTTAGTCCTCTGGGAAGCCTTCCTCTTGAACATATGAATGACTACAAAATTATTTGTTTCCCTATGACAGGCACATTTTACAGCAAGCATAGAAGTGTATCATATTCTGCTCATAAATTTGTTCTGACAGAAGTCTGTATGCCTTATAAACAAATCTGGAAAATACTTGCTACAGTTTATTTCTGGTTACTAGAAGAAAAGACAGAATAATAATGGAGGTAGGCTACTAAACAGCATCCATCGTAAAATAATCTGCCACTTGCCAGAAATCAAATCATTCTTGTTTCATACAGTTTATTAAATAAGCTTTGTAGAAATAATACTTGGTTTGTACAAAAGAGAAAGCATAGCAGAAAAAAAAAGCCCACAATGAATGTAAAACACACTATTTAAGGTTACAAATACACATATTTGAAGCACTCAGAATTCCTTTGACTAAGTGATACTCCTGTCACATAATCTTTTCTTACTAAGGAATAAATACCAAGTTTCATGGAAATAGTATCTATGTCTAGATACTTCTCAGGAAACATTTTCTTTTGTTAGCTCTCAGTGTAGAGTGCCCATTTCACTGACAAAACCAGCCCATTCTGAAATTTACTAAGTAAATATAATTGCAAACATAACAAGACACACAGCTGCTCACACCTCTCAAATAACATCCAAACACTAAATAAATACTGTACTTGAAATTTTGTTTAAAAGAATAAAGTTCCTGGGAACCAAAAGACTAAGGCAGATAGGTGTGCTAGATCATAAGTAAATACAATAAAATTTTAGAAATACCAGTGATCCTAAAGATACGCCAAAGCTAGCAACATTTATTTCAGTCCTGCTACAAAACAGACAAGATGCTTTGATGGAAGCCAATACTTTGAAATAATATGACACAAATACACACTATCTATGTAGAGCCTGTTTTGAAAGGGAGAGAAATAATACATTTTTCACTTATTTTGTTACTATTCTATTATTCTACAAAATGGACCAGTCATCAACATCTTCTTTCCATGAGGCCCATATCAAAGAACTAACTGGACTGTACAATTAAATAAACAAATATTGAATGCCTAAATTGTATCGTGCATAAATTTGGAACAGACAATGTATTTTCAACAGCTATTCAAGTATCCTTGCTTTCTTTCTTTGTAATATTTAATGGTATTTGTCAATTTTCTAAGTCCTACTATTTTACTTTCTCTGCCTCTATGCTGATTAGTTTAGTTCAGAAAGTCAGCATGTGTACTAATGAAAGATGAGGTTTGTTTTTTTTTTTTTTGACTAATCAAAGATCATGTATTTACCTTCTGCAAGCATGTCTGGCACATCTGCTTGATATCTAGGCCCCACTCTGATTTCTCCCTTGTCTGCTAAAAGCGTTTTCAGTGATGGATCATACACCAATGAATAAAAAAAAGTATCCTAAAAAAAGAAGAGACATTTGCAACAGCATAATGATTTTTGAAATTAGGTTTGTAAATCTGTATCACCTTCCATCTGGAAATTATTAAAGTAAGCTCCCCTCGCATACTTCCACAGATCATAGGTTTTGCACATTAATCTTTATTTTAAATAATGCAGATGTGTCACGAGTACTTTTAAATGGCTAACTGAAGCTTCTCTCATTGCTAGGAGTTATTTCAGAAGAGAGCAATAATGAAAAGATCATACACAAAAATATATCAATGGATTTGAAAAGAATTAATGTTAACTGCTTTCTGAATTTAATATGTTTCCTCTCCTAAATATCTCTACCATACTGTCTTTGCATTATAAATCACTTTCAAAAAACATAAAACACTGTCAATGTCTGAAAAGGGCTTACACAAAAATAGTATTGGCATATCTGGTACTGTCACCTGAAGTACTGGGCAAGTGCTGTTTTCAGAAACATTTTTACTGATTATCAGTGGCTTTGGTGGAGAAATTTAAAAATAAAGACATGCCAATTTCAGCTAAAAAACACTGTCTGCCTGATTTTATATTAAGACACTCTGAAGAAATACACATTTATTTTGAAAGGTATTTTGCGATACAATTATCCTTCGAATTCTTGGGCAATTTTCTTCCGCTCTGGCTAAGGCTAAGCACCGCTAAGTTCCTTCCACAGGAAATCAAGGGTGAGCAGACACTTTCCATACAGTAATTCAAAGTCCTTAAAATTGAACTCCTATGCTAAATTTAAATTGCCCTCTACAGGAGCCTCTCTTGCTCTTTCCATCCATTGACTACAGAACATTCTTACTTCTAGAACATCTCTAGGCAAAAAAAAAAAAAAGAAATTTTAAAAAAAGGAAAAAGAAAAAAAAAAAGCCCTGTGAATTCCTCCTTAAGTACCTGCTACAGAAAAAGAAGTCCATATATTTTTCTTTTATAAAATACCAGATGAATTACTTCAAAGTAATTATTTTCTAAATACAACCATATTAATAATAGAACAATAGAACCATTATTTAGGCATGTCAATTAAGTTTTTATCCAATATCACTTTTAACAATCAGTGCTTTCAACAACATAGTCCTTCTAACTTATCACTCAACAAAACATTTTCCAAGTATTGTTTCCCCATTTATTAAAAATACAGCCATAAAAAAACATAAACCCATCCCAAACAGAAGTCACATATTACCTCTTTCTCCAGATACGACAGCACAGATTCTGTCTCATTCAGAAGCGCAACACTGCATTTTCCCCTACATGAACATAAGGAAGAACTGTTACTTTCTAAGAAGTTCAAATTTTTATTAAATCAAAATTTAAATTGCAAGGAAACAATCTAGACATACTTGAAACTTTTACATTAAAATACACTAAAATACACTTTGCCATACTTTTAAGATACCAAAATTAAAGCACCAAAATGAAGGGCTGTACTGACCCAAGCACTGAAGTACATAAGAATTCTGCAGAACTGGGAAATGGTTTCAGAAATAGAGAAGCAATAAAGGAACAAGAGTTACTACAGCAAAGAATAAATACACATACAATTAATAAAAAGGCCTGGATGAATGAAACATCGCCTCTGAGCAACTCACCTCCAGTAAGTTCAGTGTCTAATTTGAGAACAAATAACCCAAACTAGAAACAATATAAGATTTTACCAATGGCCTATAACAGTAAAGAACTTTTCTTTTTTGAATTGAATTATTTCTAATAATTAATCCTGGAATTCTATAAATTTCTTCTATGGCCACATTAAAACTATAACTACATTTTTGTGCAGGCTGCTGCCAGTATAAAGCTTCCTGTTATTCAGTAGTGGTACAGATCAGCCCACGTATAATATGTGTAGATAACACAATGGGAGTTTGATCCCACTACTAACCCCACCCCTCTTCTCTGTCCCCTCTCTCATCCCCTTCTCCCCCTATATTCCTTCGGCCTCAAATTCTTCTGCCTCCAACTTCCATGCAAATAATCTGCAGAATTATTTTTAACAAATGGTATTTTAAAAAAACACATAGAGATGTGGATGAAAAATGTTAAGTGTGCTGAATCACCTTGCCAGCAACTGGCGTTTTTATGCTACAATTTTTAACTGAACTACCATTTTACAACAATATATATTTACTATCCCTTACAAACATCACCTTGTAGTTCGTGCACATAAGTTTTATTTAATTTCTACCATTTTAGCTGGCATTTACCAGGAGGTTCCAGTGGCCTTATACGTGCGGCTATAGGACCCCTGCCCAGAACACCCTTCTCCCATGGAACAGATCAGCACACAAATATAAAAAAGGTAATTGTTTGCAGAGACCTCATTGATTTTAAGATAACACCAAAGAAGTTATCATAAAAAGCATCGTTCATTTCAGTGAATGCTGACTGTTAAACTCAACCATAAGCACCAGATGTCAATTGTCAACAGCTGATCGCTAAGTGACCACACCCAGCTAACATCCTGCTCATTACCACTGCACATCTTAGGAGATGGGGTTAAACCATACATTAAGTCTGCAGTATGTCATCTCCTAAATTTCTCTTCATTTCTACATTTGTTAGAAGAACTATACCACCAAAGAGAAATGGTGGGAAGATGAGCGGGAGAAATCTGAGTACAATACACAACAGTAGAGGAAAAGACTCCTGCAACAGATAAGTAGGAAACCTTCTCTATACCTAACCACGTCTTTGAATGTTTTTTGAAGCTTCTGGCCTTGATAATTCCAGAACATTCACTTCTAAAAATTAATTATATGTTGTACTGTGAAGTCAGTTTGTAAACTTTTTTTTAACAGATTTTTTTTAGTGTTAAAGGCTAAATAGGACTTTACCTCTCCATTTTGCTTCTATTCTGTATACCTCTACTATGCTTTCTCTCCACTACAGCCTATCGTTACTTAACTCCAATTATTGCAGAGGCATATTGCACTGTCATTACGATTGCAAGAGTATTTCAGTGACTGGCATTATACCTTATTGCTAATAACTTGGAAAATTTCATTTCATTAAGAGGCAAGATTAATCCCCCCAGCACGTCTTCTGAGTGAATTTCTAGTTGATGTTACATTTCTTCGTACATCACTTTAATCATCTAATGGGTGGAGTCACACACAGAGACAACATTTTATATGCGTGTAAGATATCTCACATGCATGGACTAGTGTCATATGGTAGTAGATATCAGACTAAAATGAAAAAAAAAAACATTTGAAAACAGGTATTAAAGAGTCAAAATCAGAAAAAAAAAATCTGTATTACAGTTAACAGTTTCTATAATCTAGAAACTTGTAATAACTATTACAAAATATTTAGAATCTTTACCAAACGCATAAAAGTCTACCACTTATAGATCTCCTCTTTCTCTTTTTTTCCATCAGAGGAAAGTCCTCTCAGCCTATTGTAAACAGCCTACTGGGTTGAACCAAGCATCTAGCTCATATTGTCTCTGGTGTCTCTCAATCATGGATGCTTAGGAAATAAGTACATACACGGTTGCAGCTATATGTCCCTAAATATTCTCCAATCACCATTGCACTCTTCACTGTTTCTTCCAATACTAATAAGCAAAATGTCCTGGAGAAAAAGTTTGTGGTTTAAGATCTGGAGTTCTTTCTAAGGCACGCATCTAAAAAGCCAGAGCTTCTCCAAATTTACATATAATATTCTTCTCACATTGTTCTAGAACTTTGTTCATTAATATTTTAAAGCAATTTCAGATTATTGGGATAGATGGAGCTATACCAAATAAAGAATCAATGTAACAGGATAATATCTGACTATTCTAAACTAGACAGAGGATAAAAGGGGGAGCTAGCTACCTACAGAAACAAGTGAGAGAGCATATACACTGCTTTTACCAGATTCTAAGACCAGTTACACACCAAAATGAAATACTCTCTTTGCAAAAAGACAATAGGATTTCTGAGTTTTTAGTATTATTTAGACTGCTAGAGTATAATGCCATAGAACAATGCACTGTTCTGTTGGTGGAGTCTCCTGTCTGAAATGTGTCACAAAAACTAACCAAACCAAGGTAAAAATTACAAAGAATTACCGAGCTTTCATGAAATTAAAAAAAAAAAAAATTTGAAGAGTTATCTAATGTTTGTTTAGATATGACACCATCTTCCTCGTAGCCAACCCTGATTCTCTGATTTAAGCTACAGTCTTCCACCAAGCAGCATTCTTAGCTGGTATCAACAGGGTGAATTGCTAATGAACAGCACCAGAAGGGCCCAGTGATGTTAAGATTACATGTCTGGTTTTGACCTTTTTCCTCAAATTAAAAATAATCAGAAAAAATATTTGTACTTCCTATAGAACTAGGCAAAATTTATCTTGTATGAATGTTAAGTGAAAGTTTTCAGATACCTCAGCAATGTACAAATAACTCCAAACAAAAACTAAGTCAGCTTTTATGTCATCACTTCCAATTTAATTCAGATGAGACTAAACTGCCCCTTCAGAATCCTTGTATTTTGTATTTAAACTGGTCACAAAAAGTTATTCCATTGAAGTGACAGCAATACCAACAAAACTTGATACAGTATTAAATCAGTCAGCAATAAAAAGTAATTTAGAAGTTTTGCAGTAAAAGGAGACAACGAAGATTGCCTATCTGTACGCTCATGGTATTACCAGCCTCTACCATATAAACCACTCAGCATTCAATTGCTTCCCCTGTCCTACGAACCAGAGCTACAACTCATAACTTTATTCTTTCTTTAAAGCACTTACGAGTTAAAGGTGTTTTCACATGTTACACCTTCCTTCACTCCCACTCATTAGAAGTTCTTGCCTGCTTGTAAACTTTTTTGTATCTTTCAGGGGACTCCACCAGTACATTGACAATTCCTTATCTTTTACACCCATCAGCTAAGGGATGCCTAACGACCTGTTTCTCCACACCTAAAACCTACTTCCATGCTTCAGTGAAGCCTTTCTGTTACAATACAGAAATGAGACTCAAACACTTTCTACAAAAATATTCTAAAATACTTCTTTGGAAAAAATGCCCTATTAATTTTGTAGAAAAGTATTTATTTAACAGCCTTAGCAGAAAGCCAGGACCATACAGTCCCAAAAGCAAAATCTTAACCATTTACAACTGAATCAGCAAAGAACAGAGACACTATGAAGATTACAAGGAAATGGCAAGACACACTAGTCATCATGGTAGGCAGAAGTTTTAGGGCAGAAAACATAAGGATTTCCTCCATTTCTATCCCCACCCCACCCCCCCTCCAGCCCTGTTTTGAGGAGCTATGGTTTTTTTTTTTTTTATTAATTGCCTTCCTGAATATGACAAAATTATTTTGGTCAATTCTGCACAGATAGACCAACTGTCTCCTGCTGATCTTCATCAAGAAATGTTGGTCTCTTAAGCAGAGATTTGGAACACAGAAGAGTGAGTCACTAGCTAGACAGCCTGAGAATAAAATAACAGGAGAGAATATTAGGAAATATTATGCTTGTGAAGAAAATCTGATTTGATTCTAACATATGCTGTTAGTTCAATGACAAGCAGAGATTAAACTAAAAAGAAGGTGCATAATGAAGAGGAGTAGAAAGGTTTTGTGCAGGAGTAGAACTCAGGAGTAACCTTCCCTATATTTGGCATAAAGGGAAAGAAGGGGAAAAAAGGGTACACGTACTTAGTAGAGGAGGAGAGAGACTTAAATAAAAAAGGTTTTTCCTGAACTGCCTTAAATGAGAAAGTATTTTGAAGACTTACAATCAAACAACCACTTTGAGACAAGTCTTCATCCCTTATAGGCAGTCTAAATTTCAATGACTATCACCAAACCACAGACGAGGAACTGTGGAGTCCAAAGAGCTTCTGCTGATTATATGAAATTGATTCCCCAGTTATGGGAAGCCAATACTAAGAATACTTGTGTATTTTACTTTTAAGCACAGTTTAAGGGGCACAGAATGGTGCTGACAGACATGTACTAAAGTCTTCACAGCAAATTTCAAGTTCTCCAGATTGCAAAGATTACACAAGTTACACAACTGGAGAGAAAGCTACTGCACAACACTAAAACCAAGAAAATAAAAGCATCATCATAGCGACTTAAATCTGCAACAGACCACTAAGGAGAGTTTGACTTTCAAAATATTCAATAAATACCTAGAATTGACAGAAGATAGATCTGCACTGTATTGACTCTTACTTAATTGGCCCAAATTTGAGCCAATTGGATCAACATTTGATAGGTGAATACTACTGGGATCTGTGTCTCCA